CCGATCCAGGAACATCTAACATGTGAACATTCGAATGTAATATATTTAATTTCATGCAAGAAATGCCCCAAACAATATGTAGGAGAAACTAAGAATAATTTACGAACTCGCTTTAATGCTCATAGGTCAGACATCAAATTAAAGAAAGACAAGCCTGTTTCTAATCATTTCAACCTCGACGACCATTCAATAGACGATCTCACCCTAATCCCAATTGAGCGTATAGAAATTGACTTGCCCGAAGATGAAACTACCAAATTCCGTCAATCTAGGGAGGCCCATTGGATTGAGACATTGAATACAGCAAGACCTATAGGACTAAATATTCATCATAATGTAGGCATAGCACCCTTTGTTGTCCCGTTTAATACAACCAGCAATCGAGCAAGCAAGATAGTTCATGCCCACTATAAGAGCCTTCAAGAGAAATTCCCCCATGTCTATAAGCAGAAAATGATAGTTGCATATTCAAAAAATAAGAACTTAAATGATAATATTGTTCATAGTAAACTAAAAACAATCAGTACATAACAGATACTATACTTCTCGCCCATCGGGCGAGTTATTTTTTCTAATTTCAGGTCAGAATAAGAACAGAAGAAAACCCAAAATCAAGACCCTTAATCCTAATTTCTAAATAAAGTGTCTGCTCCACCCTAGGCCTGTACATTTGGGAGAATCAAACCCTCCCTTCCCCGAAATCTAGCTAAATCGGCATCATTTGCAAGATTTCTTACCGGTTCCGTTAAAATACTTCCATCACCAACATCGGGTATCCAGCCTGAAATTGAATCGAAATCTTTAGGATATAAAACTGTTTTCAACATTGTGTCGAATTCCCCAGGATGTTTGATTGTTTCTATCGGATTTGAACCAGCTTCCAAAACCATCTCGCTAAATAAAGATGGAAAGAAATTGTTTTCTAACGTTGTATTTGTTTGTGGAACTTGATTCTGAGTGGCTTCTTTGATTTTGAAATCACATCTGAAATAAGCATCGGAAATAAGCAACCAATTCGATAATGAATTTATTTCGAAGGTAATTCTACCACCATCATTCAATTGGGATTTAGAACCAACAGTGGGTGAGATGATAATATAATCCTCTTTTTTCTTGTTAAATGAATAACGAATTGGATCGTATAATCTAAAGATTGGATCTAGTATTTTATTTGCCATTTTTAAGGTTTACAATTTGCTTTTTTTGATGGAATGTAGGAAATTGATTGAAGGTGTTTTTAGTGTATGAAATGTAGGGCTGTAAGAATTTATGTAATGTAGGGAATTTAGGTGTAAGAATTTATGAAATGTAGGGAATTTTGCTGTAAGAATTTATGAAATGTAGGATGTTTAGGTCTTTATGTTATGTTATGGGCGCATTTTCCCCATGAAATGAAATGGAATGGGGAATCCCCTTTTATGCGACCTAATTGAAAGCTCTAGTACTACTAATCACTCCTTCTCCTTTATACTTCGAAAGGAAGATTCCCTCTACAGAACGTATGTTTTTAAAAACTATAGCTTTTCCCTTATGTTTGACCTTCATTTCTCCAGTGTCGATTTTATCCATTAGATTACTTAATCCCTCTTTAACAGTTTTTTTGGTTTCTTCACTAAATCGATTTCCAAATTCTTTAACTGTCCCTAATATATCTGCTACTCCCGAACCTTGTGCTATCTTTTCCATTTCCATATTATGATAAGGTTTTCACTTTTTTCAGCATCAGCTGCTTTCTTGGCGTTGATGGCTTGCGTCACCCCACCCGCACACCAGCTGTCGCTCCTGCCGCGGCCAGACCAGCAAATATCAAAGGTAGGAAAGGTAAAAATCCACCATCCTTTACACTCTTGTCAATTCTTTCCAAATCTCCGACTTAACAATGTTTATTTTTTATCAATATTTTTTTTAGATATTTTAATTCTTTTACCATTGTAAGTTATTGTAGTTGGTGATTCCGTTTCGATAGCATCTATTATTTTTAAGAGGGTAATTTAAATGATTATTCTATACGAATCATCCGTCTGTCGGATATTTTAATTAAATGTTTTGCTTCTTCCAATAATAAACAATAACCTGTTACATTTCCTTGTGTTTTTTCAATATAAATATTTTTATTCACCCCTGTTTTGAAAAGATCTTCTTGATGAGCTGATAGATCAAAACAGAAGATTGGGTGATTAATTGCAAAATCTAAATATTCAAACTGAGGTGAATTCCAAATAATTCACACATATTTTTATAGTTCCTATACAATTCATTATAATCCTTTGTGGTTGGATTAATTGTTTTAATTGTTAAAGGTTGATTAGGATAATTATCATTGTTTAATCTTACTTGAACTTTACGGATTATAGGATCTTGAGTTTGGTTCATTGCTACTCTAAAGATATTATTGTTATTCGTTTGAGAATCTGGTAAGTTCTTGAAATCAACCATTAAATATCTTGCTGGTTTAATAGTGTTAGTGATTGGCCATGTAGTGGATTCTCCAGTTAAAGTTATGCTACCTATTGTGTTACGACGAATAAAAGCTATATCAATATCTTTAGTTAATGATTTAAATATTCTCGTTTCTACTTCAATTGATGGTGTTATTACCGGTATGTAAAGTTGGAGATTCGGTATTTCTAATTTTGCATCTGAAGCATTCTCTCCAAAGAATATCTTATCATCATTGATTTCTCTTTGTAGATGAATTTTATATGGTAACCCTATAGAAACTTTTCTGTGTTCCAACAGGCCGAATAATGGATATAATTTCCAAGCCTATTATTCTCAACAACATTATTGTACTGAAGTACTCGTTTTTCAAATCCATGATTACCTGCTCGTCCTACTCTTTCTATTGTGTTTCGAGCAATAGCTCTCATTCTATATTCATTTGCATCATTTGGAACATTTCTTACCGGTTCTTTTAAAACTCTTCCATCACCAACATCGGGTATCCAGTCTGAGACTGAATCATAGTTTTTGGGATATAGAACTGTTTTCAACATTGTGTCAAATTCCCCATGGTTTCTATGGGATTTGAACCAGCTTCCAAAACCATTTCAGTAAATAAAGATGAGAAGAAATTGTTTTCTAACGTTGTGTTGGTTTGTGGTACACGATTCTCATTGGGAGTTCCGTCTTTGATTTTGAAATCGCATCTGAAATAGGCATCAGACAGAAGCAACCAATTTGATAATGAATTTATCTCCAAAGTGACCCTACCCCCATCATTTAGTTGAGATCTAGAGCCTACGGTTGGTTCATATAATTGAAAGATCGGATCTAATCTGCCATTTTTAAAGATAGGTTTTACCCTATTATTTGGAAACCATTCACACCCATGGAAATGCAGGAAGAATAACAAAAAATCAAAGTAAGTTTTAATAAATACAAGGAAATTTAAAACATAAACAATTACATGTATATTGATATACACTTCTACTAGATATACTTCAGAGTTATTTCCCCCTCTTACACTATTGGGAGTCATAGTTCAAGGGTCAAGGGTCACGACCGCTCCTATAGAATAGCTAGATATACTTAAGAGTTATCTCCCCTCTTACATTATTGCCAGTCATAGTTCAAGGGTCAAGGGTTACGACCGCTCCTATAGAATCGCTAGATATACGTCAGATATTTTATCCTTTTCCAAAACGCTTGTTCTTCACCACTTGTTCTATTTTATATTTGTCACAGAGTTCGGTAGATTCACCCACTGCCTGCGATGGTTTAAGTATTCTTCGTGATATGAAATGTTGGCATCTATTGTGTCTGGAATAAAACAAAATTGATATTTTAAAAGATAACAAATAACATGTCATCTTAATTACACCCTATCGTCTTTTAATTTAAACAAAGAACATACCTTGATTTTGTATGATTAAATTCCTAATCTTCCAGCGTAACAAAATTGAGACAGTGTTAATAGTTGAGAGTTTATTCTGTCTATGCTGACGTGGCATGGGCGGAATGTTATATGTTAATATAACCATCTTCACCTGGTTTTGGTTTATCGTTTTCGTCTTATCGCAAATCTAACCTGGACCAGTGTAATTATGACCTGGAAGATGTTTTTCACCAGGGGTATTTTGCCCATGGAAATCCGGGAAGAGAACCTAATGATTTTTGAATGTCAGAACCGAAATAAGTTTTAGGGGTTTGAGCAATTATCATTGACATTTTTATCCTATAATTTTAAAACCATTGCCTTTTTTGTTTTCTAATCTTTTGTTTCGCATTTCTCTTATATGTTGTAATTCTTTTAACTCGTTAGATCTTTTCACTGCATCGCTTATATTTACTCCTGCTTTTGCTCCAAGAGCTTCCGCTTCTAAGGAAATGAGGGATTTGTTGCTTGAGACAAAGTTGGCTACTTTTGGGATGAGAGATGATAGAGCTGAGAAGAAACCGTCTCCTTCGAATTTGTAATGTTCGTGTTTTTAAATTAAACCCATTCTGTTTTTAAATGAGTTAATTTGGCCTGGGGCGCTTGGGGGTTGGTAAACGGGTATCCCTATAGGCTCCGGGTTTATTAAACGCGTGCCTGGTGGGGTTGTTTGTTTGGTGGGCTTGCGGGCGCCGCAGGCAAAAGAGTAGTATAATAGGTTATAGATAAGGGGCGGTTTTTATAATTTAAAAAAAAAAATCACTTTTTGACGTTAGTCTTCATTAGCTCACATGGTGCATAAAAGTACGACATAAAACTCATTTCATTCACTCACAATGAAACTCGATAAAACACTGACATCCAATGACGTCTAAACCAAATCTAACCGCGTCTAAGGAATGCGGCAAAAATCATTGCAGCTTTTCCCCGTGTTTGACTTTCATCCTCTATCTGTAAATATCACATGATCGGACTATCGATATGACATTGCAATAAAATGACAATTGTCTTTTGCATTATTGACATTTGAATAAATAGTTCATGTACTTTGCGACTCCTAGCATACCTTAAAATACATGAAATAAAACGTTCAGGGTGGATTTGCTGTAAGTTTTATTGATGTACTCAGCATGCAGATTAAGACCCTTGGGTGTTCTATGTATGAATGCATTTTGACATGTCCGTCGTTCTTAAGTAGATTTTCCAAAATTTTGAAACTTAAGAATGAATGACTATTATTGTATTTTACTTGGACCCACTCAACCATGATGATAACCGTTAATAGTCATAGG